GTACGTGACAGTGGTGGTAACAATGATCAATCTCTTTCCAAAATTTGCGTTCATTAGCATAATTTCTCTATCTTGTGAATAAGATATATTTTTCCAGTCCCATTCCATACATTTGACACACTCGCGGACGTCATCCTTGTGAATGTTTATCAAATGATACTTTGTAATCGATAACATGCAGAAACTCATTAGACTAACGAATTTTAATCTGTCGTATATATTTTTCACTTCGAGAGATATATATATCCATCCAGGTATAATGATAAAAATTATTAAGCAGTAACAAATAGCGTTATATAACCATTGAAAATATTTGCGTATTGTTGAAATTTTATCAAAAGTTGGCCATAGTCCAATCATTTTTAAAATAAGACGGGTGTATTTAATGCTAAAATTTATATTTTTTTTGATGTCTTGATTGGTTTTTACAGAGGACATAATCGTTTCCTTGTTCGAGCTCGAAAGCTCTCTTCGTACTGAGAGTTTGTAGATTGTAATAGTTCTAAAACGCGGATGCGCTTGCGCCATATTTTTTCAATTTCTATGGCAAGGGTAAAATTAAAAGTTACTCTCCCTCGCTGGAATAAACTCTTCCCCATTTGGCACTTCTCTTATTATGCATTACAGGTAAAAAGAGTTGAAACATCAATAAATTGATTTTTTTTTAATATTAGTAGAACAGAACTGTTGATACTTGTAAAAGATGAGTTCTTTTTCTTTTTTTTTTCTGAACTTTTTTTTTATGCACTACTAATACTTTTTGTACAAACGTTTTTTTAATGTTTTATAAAGTCATTTTTGCATGATTTAATTTTTATTTATTTTCTATTAATTCTTATATCTTCTACTTTCTTATAATTCTATTCAAATACGTAGATAAAATTTTTTAAAAATTTTCTGTAATTTCTGGAAATATTTATTTATTTTCTTAATAAAATAATAAAATAATAAAATATTATTATTTTCTTTTACACGAAATAAAGTAAATTTTAGAAAAATTGAGACTGCATGTTAATAATATAAATATCTATACATAGCATCTAGTTTATTTTTAATATTTTTTATTTTTAACATTAACATTATAAAATACAATTTTTTAGGTCCTTTTAAATGATATAAAAAATTGTTCAAATAGTTAACAGCTACTTATTTGAAACATACATCAAAGTAGTGATTATAAAATGAATGGAAAATATAATTTTATTGGATTGTAATGAATATCAACAATGAATTCCAAATGGATGGATATGAAAGGAAATGTTAAAGGAATGAAGGTGAGATGTATTATAATTATGATCGATGTAGTAGTGTAATAAAAGCCATTGTATATGAATGTAGATAATCAGTTTTTGTTCAAAATTCGTGATCATTATCATAATCTATCTTTCATGTAGTGTTCTTCCAATTTCACTTGATTTTTTCTACATTCATGAATGTTGGCTTTATAAATAATTAGATAATATTATTTCACGCAGATGATCAAATAATTATTGATAAAGATTTGCATGTAAAAATTTTAGTTAATTTTTGTTTGATAATCTGTGCGATATATGATTCTTAACATAATTTATGAAATGATTTTATATTAAATTTTATATAATACTTACATTATTAAAAACATTGAAAAATAGTTCTATCATTTTAAATTATAAATTTCATTGATAAACTTAATTTTAAAAATCAAATCTTAAGAAAAAAAAAAAAGATTAAAATTTCTCGGAAATTGATATAATATACATGAATTATATATATTATAATAAAAAGTAATTATAACAACTTAATAGTAACAAATTGTGCATAATATTTTAAATAGTATGCAAAATTCATATATTAAAAAATATTGTCAATAATTAGATTAAATAAAAATTTTTATTTTTTCATTTAATCTATGATACAATATATTTTTATAAAAGAAACATATATCCGTATATCTATACTTTTTCTATTATTCGATATGAAAATTGTAATTTTTATCATCGAACAGTTCATCATATTAAATCCTTAAATTGTTAATGTTCGTAATACATTCAAAAATGCGACTGCTGTCTTAACAACCTATATATACAAAAAATGAATATTTCAGTGAAAAAAATGTAAAAAAAAGATTCAAATATTTTCGTACTTACATCA